TGTATTTAAGTTATGGCGTTGGAGAAGAATACTGAGTAGACCGTGGGACTGGCAAGAATGAATAAATCTGTGTGGGAAGAAGTACTGCCAGAATGTTCTTGCGAGGCCAGGATGATGAGACTGGTCTCACACACTCTGGACACAACTATTAGGAGGGACAGTCCCTGGAGGAGGACATCGTGCTTGGTAAAGAAGAGGGGCAGTGAAAAAGGAAACTCTTCAATGAGACTGATTGACACAGTGGTTGCAACAATGATTCAAACACAGCACGCATTGTGAGGGTGTGCAGTGTTTATGTTCTGTTGTACACAGGTGCGCTACGAGCTGGAACCGATTGGATGGCACCTGTAACATGCTCAGATGATTCTTCAACTTGAAATACAACCTTAATTCTAAGTCCAAATCAACTAGGCAGGACTTTGCCTTTTCTTCGTTTCCTACACTAAGTCTCAGGAGCATACGTATCAGATAATTCAAAGAAAAGAAGCTAAGAAGGGAATGTGAGGTGATGTCCGAGATGGAGAACTCTGGTGAAGTGACCCACGACCCTTTTCCACTTTCTCCTCAAGGTTCACATGGCGAGCCGGGAAGCTAGAAACAGTTCATGCTCAGCGACAACAGTGGGACCTTTCGCTTTACAGACGTTGTCACTGACGCTGCCATTCTGGAATGGGTTTGGTTAAATACTACTTTCAAGGAGAAGAGTAAGGCAGGCTCTATGAGCGCATGGATTTTGGCCTGTGTTCTTCACTGATGTAATGTGTTCTCGGCCCCTGGTACACACAGTGAGACCTGTGAGAGCCGGACCTTGACCGAACAGGCCTCATTTCTCCAGGCCTCACAAGTCTCCCACTGCCGACAGGTTTCCGTCTTACTACTTTTCTATTGCTTGTTTTCATGGGAAAGATTTGAGGTTATTTTCTTGGGGCAGGCTTCTGCCTTACACAGATTCCAGCTTTCAAAGGTTTTACCAGATTTCTGTGGAATGAATGAATCCTCGATCAACTGCTGTACCGAGCAAGGTTTACCTGCAGGAGTATTATGTAGTGAAGTCTCGCTGTTGTGTTGACCATTTCTTGGTGTCAGGCCTGCACCTTTACATAGCTGATGGCCTCTCGTATTGAATCCTAGCTACATTCATACCAGCGTATGCAATCTTTTTGTATGAGTTTCTGATTTAAGAAACTCCCAAAAAGATCTTACCTGTTGACAATAGTTTGAAAATCACTTTTTAAAGTGAAGTGCTTTAGAAAGGTTTCATGACCGCTCCCCTTTCTAAATCTTTTTTGAAAAAGGTACAAATGCCTTTTGATATAGTTGACATGGCTCCCTTGACTGCTGTGGCATGTGACTTGCTGGCATTATTCTACGTGCTCCTGAGGCTGTGTGGAGGAGAAAATGGTAGCAATTAAATGTAAAATTCTCCATTGTCATCTGTATCTTTCAAATGAAATGCTTAAGAAAGAGATAACTCAGTTACAGTTTGGAAAGCCTTCTGCTTGCTGGCCCAATAAAAGAGTTATTACTGCATGGTTTAAGAGACTTCCCACCTGTGCAAGGTTGTGTTCTCGAGAATGTTTTTTCTGCTGGAACTTGGGGGACATGGGGCAAGTTTAAGGGTCCTCTCTCTTCCTGTCTCTCCCCATTCTGGCTCCCACATCCTTTGGAGAGCAGCATTCAAATGAGGGAGGATGGGGTGTCGGGTGTCGGGCCCAAGGCCACAGTGTAGGAAGGGAAGTCTAAAGTCACATCAGTCAGTACCCATCTCCAAGGTGTTGATTCAGGACAACTCAGGTTTCAAAAGAACAAGGTGGGGTCAGGGGAGACATGACAGAGGAAGGGAAGACCAAACATAAGCAACAAAAAGTTAGATGGGGGAGAGGGGTCAGCAGTCACTGGTCTTGTGGTTGTAGGCAGGTTTAGGGACGGATCCTGTATTTGTACATCTTAGGCTGTTCGTCAGCAGGCAGCCACGGGGAAGAGAAAGGAGTCAGGCCTATCTGCCTAGATGTGGAGTCCCTGGGTGGTGCAAGTCATTAACATGGGTGGCTGCTCCAGGATCAGGAAGTTGAGTTTACTCAGAGGCACAGCGAGAGAGATGCCTGGTGATTTATGCTCAGAAAGCAGCCACTGAAAACTCTGGTGCACAACTCTACTCTGACACACACGTGGGGGCAATGAGTCAGAAATGACTCGATGCCAACTGCTTTGATAGTGTTTGACTTCTTCCTATTATGTGCCAAGAACAGAACCAGACATTTTAAATCATCACATAATTGCTCTTGTTATTAACCCAACCTTTCCAACATCGCTGTGCAGCAGGTACTCCTGCATTCCTAGTTTTGGAGAGATGACACTAAAGGCCGAGAGAAGGTCATGAACAGCCCCACTTTACTTACTAAGTAGCAGAGCTGGCGCTCAAGGGCACGTCTGTCCTAACACCTGCTGCTTGGGGTCTCCCTGCTTCAGGCAGATGACTTTGTTTTCAAATATCTCTAATTTCATTTCAGGGGCATTCTCATTTCCCTTCTTTCTAAGACGCATGCCCAAACATGTGTGTGCATGCACATACGTATGCCAGAGCAGACATTCTCTGTACTCTTCTTGGTCCTCTAAAACTAGTGTAAGGAGCTCTGGTAGTGTACTGGATTATGAGCAGAGTTGCTAACCAAAAGCTTAGCAGATTGAATCTACCAGGCGCTCTGTGAGAGAAAGATGAGGCTTTCTGCTCCCGTAAAGACTTACAGCCTCAGGAAGCCCACACAGGGTAATTAGGAGTCAGAACCGACTCCCCTGCTCACCACCACCACCAAGAGTGAGGGTATACAGGGATTTCTCTCAGAGAGTCAAAGGATCTGTGGCCAGCCCACCAAAACCCACAAACAAACACTAAAACACTGCGAGAACCACTCTTAAGAATTAGGTGCGTTCAGCGGGCTTGAGTTTGGTTCCTCATGGTAACAAGTAAAGGGTGGGTGAGTAGGAGCAGGAACCTTGGCAGAGCCCATTCAGCATTGTCTGAGGAAGAGATGTTCTTCTGGCAAGGCTGACCCCATCAGGAAGTCAGAGATTCTGGGATCTGAATGGGGTGTGAAAACATTAAAACTCCCAATCAAAAAAACGTATTTTCTCTGTTCTGATTCAGCAACCTGCAGACAGCAATGTGGCGACCCACGTGGGTCTCTGCCTTCCAGGGGAGAGTATGCTGGAATGAATGTGTCAGGCGTCCGCCTGCTAGCTGCAAGGTCAGTGGCTCAAACCCTCCAGCTGCTCGGTGGAGAAAGATGCCGTGTGCTTCGGTAAAGATTTTCAGCCTCGGACATCCTCGGGAGCAGTTCTCTCTGTCCTAGAGACTTGTGATGAGTTGGAGTCAAGTTGATGGCAGTGTGGATTTCTGGGTAGTATTGTCTTTTATATTATAAGCCATTATTTGCTTTTTTGACTTTCACTTTCTCCTGCCTGTAGAGTGGAGTTTCCAGAGACTACCCAACACGGGATACCACTATGGATTGAATGCAAGATTGTTGCTATTGTTGTTGTTGTTAAGTGCCGTCGAGTCGGTTCCGACCCATAGCGACCCTGTACAAGGTTTCCGAGGGTGTAAATCTTTACGGGAGTAGAAAGCCTCATCTTTCTCCCGTGGAGCAGCTGGTAGTTTCGAACCGCTGACCTTAAGGTTTGCAGCCCGATTCGTAACCACTACGCTACCAGAGCTCCTGAACACTCATGTTCAATCCAATTCATTCATGGATTGAATGCGAGGTTGTTGCTATTGTTAGGTGCCATCAAGTCAGTACTGACTCATAGCGATCCTATGCACAAGAGAATGAAACACTGCCTGGTCCTGGGCCAACCTCACAATTGTTGCCATGCTTGAGTCCATTGACGCTGCCACTTTGCCAATCCATCTCGCTGGGGGTCTTCTTCTTTTTCTCTGACCCTCCACCTTATCAAACATGATATCCTTCTCCAGAGAATGACAATATGTCCGAAGTATGAGAGACGAAATTTGGCCATCCTGGTCTCCAAGGAGCATTCTGGCTACACTTCTTCCAACACAAATCTGGTTTATTCTTTTGGCAGCCGGTGGCACTTGCAATATTCTCCTCCAACACCTTAACTCAAAAGCATCAATTCTTCTACGGTCTTCCTTACTCACTGTCCACCTTTCACATGCATATGAGGTTATTGAAAATATCATGACTTGGGTCAGGCACACCTTAGTCCTCAAGCTGACATCTTTGCTCTTCAACATGTTAAAAAGGTCTTGTGCAGCAGATTTGCCTAATGCGATATGTCGTTTGATTTCTCGACTACTGCTTGCATGAGTGTTGATAGTTGATCCAAGAATCAAATCCTTGACAACTTCAATCTTTTCTCCGCTGATAAGAATGTTGGAGAATCCAGCCAGAGAGTAAAGAGATCGCCAAATATACAACAATATATTACCTTTGTCACTAACCATCTCTACTTTTTTTTTTGAAACTAGTCACAATAATTCTGTTTGTTATTATGCAATGGGTTTATTGTTGTTATTCTAAAACCAATGAAAAAATATTTAAAAATTTACTGGTTTTAATCTCTAAGATAAACCCACTGCTGTTGAGCTGGTTTCTACTCACAACGACCCAGTGTGATAGAACAGAACTGCCCTGTAGGGTTCCTAAGGCGACACATCTTAGGAGCTGCCTCATTTTCTTCTGCAGAGGGGATGGTAGGCTCGAATTGCTGACCTTTTGGTTAGCAGCCAATTGCCGAACCACTGAGCCACCATCGATAGATATAAAATTCCATGGATATTAAAGCTCTCTGTGGTCCTCAGTAATGTGAGGAGTGGACAGCGGTTCTGAGACTAGCCAGTTGGAGAACTGAGGCTCTAGTGGCCCACACAAGGCAGCAGAGCTTTCTCTCCAAACCTGCTCCACAGTCTCCAAGAGCCAGGTCCCGGTGGGAGGTTGGCAGCATGCCCTGGGACACACACCCATGGCTTTATGTCTCACCTTTACTTCCATAAAGTTCTGGAGGCAAATCATACGGCACAGGAAAGGATGCCTGAGGCTCCTGGCTGCCTGAGAAGAATTTCTCTTTCACTGTGAAGCTCTCCAGGCCCTGAAGATACACAAAAGGATCTATGATTACATCTCATTTTCTCAAAAAAACCCAACAATTCCCTGAGTCTCCTACCCACACACCAACAAAACCAGAAACCACACCCTAAGATCCCAGGGAATAATTACATATACTTTTGGAACTAACAACAAAAATCAAGTTATTGCAAATGTTCAAATAGGTCAAATATATTTATACCTTCACCATAATTTTCTTAAAAAAAAAAAAAAAAGGTTCAAATTATAGGGATGAAAATTGTAACAAAGTTTCTAAGTTTAACATCCTATAAAGGTATCAGAGAAGCAATTTTAAATATTAAGGTCCGTTTCAGCTGAACAGGATGTAAAGTTTGCAAGGAGCTTGCCGAACTCACGGTATAAAAATACCTCAAAATACTTTCCACATTGCTATGGTAACTGGCTGCCCACTCTGCTGAGAAGAAATAAAAATTTGTTTCTATGTACAATAAAAATGACTGTAAATGTTCCAATACAATGTGCTGGGAAAATGAAAAAGCAAACTTTCTTAAGGCCCACCAGAATGGAGGTTGTTCAAAGAACTTCAGGATAGGGTATTAGTTTAGCATTTCAGCAGTGTGAATGTTAAGATTCCACAGCATGGCCAATTAAGAGCCCCTAGGTGTCGATGCAAGTGGTTAATGCGCTTGGCTGCTAACCTGCTCACCCATCCAGAGGCGTCTCAGAGGCCTGGCGGTCTGCTTTGGGAAAACCAGCCACCAAAACCCCACTGAATACCGCTCTACTCTGACACACACACGGGGTTGTCACGAGTCGAAACCGACTTAATGGCAAATGAAAAATGGAAAATTGCTAACACTGGGCCTTACTATACAAGTTTGACTTTTCCTATACCTCCGATCAGTGACCATCTTCTCCCAGAATTTCTGGATCACCTTGGCATTTGATTACTCTGCTGTCTCTCTTTCCTTCTGTTCACTCATATAGATACACATACCCATCATACAGATCCCAAATACCCACATCTCAGACAGTGTTCACGTCTTAAATCTATTGGTGCCAACTCATTTCTGTCTCATAACAACCAACTGGGACAGAAGAGAACTGTCCCAGGGGTCCCCATGGCTGTAACCTGCAGACTGCCACATCTTTCTTCCATGGAGGGGCTGATGAGTTTGAACCACTGACCTATTGGTTAGCAGTCAAATGCTTAACCACTGTCGCAGTAGCACCTCTGTTAATGTCTTCTTGTTAGGTGGGTTCACACTCACAGTGACTGTTATGTACGGTAGAAGGAAACACTGCCTGGTACTGAGTCCTCCTCACAATCACTGTTAGGTTTGAATCCATTGTTGCAGCAACTGTATCAGTTCATCTCATTGGGGGTCTTCATCTTTCGCTGACCCTCTACTTTACTGAGTATGATGTCCATTTTCAGGGTCCCTCCTGATCACATGTCCAAAGCGCCTGACAGGAAGTCTCATAGTTCTTGCTTCACGCCTTCTTGTTGTTGAGTGCTGTCGAGTTGGTTCTGACTCAAAGCAACCCTGTATAGTGCTTCCAAGGAGTGGCTGATGAGTTTGAACTGCTAACCTTGCAGTTAGCAGCCCAGTGTTTCTCTGACAGTGCCATGCCCCAGAGCAAGGCTCTTTGTCTTTATGATCAGTAGACTGGGTCAGTGGGAGGCGGGTCGTGGGCACAGGAGGCCAGGGGAGAGTCCTGTAGAACTGGACTTCGGACAGTGTGTATTCCAGCCTTTGCTCTGGCTTTTATTAAAGCTTTGGCAATGGCTGTTTACATTCATTAATTAACTAGTTAATTTAAGACATCATGTAATAAACCCCTTCTGTGTCAGACACGTTGCCAGGCCATAATCACCATTTTTCCTGTCCTCGTGGTGTGAACAGTCTAGTAGGGTGAAAGATATCAAGCAAATTTGTTAACAGAAGTAAAGTAATTACGACTAACGATGAGTAGGGAACTCCTGGTGTGGCGCTACAGGGTTAGCATTGGACCGTGAACCACAAGGTTGGTGGTTCCAACCCTCCAGCTGCTCCTCGGAAACCCTTCACAAGATAAGCAGGAGCCCTGGAGATACAGTGGGTTTAGTATTGGGTGGTTCACCGGGAGGGACATGGTCCAAAGCTAACAGCAGCTCTGCAGGAGAAAGGTGGCTCTCTGCTCCTGTGAATATTTAGTCTTGGAAAACCCTGTGGAGCAGTTCTGCTCTTTCCAATGGGATCACTAGGAGCTGGAATAGACTCAGTGGCAGTGGGTTTGGTTTTGATGAAAAGTGCTTAGGAGCCCTGGAGCTACAGGGGTTAAGTTTTGGCAGTTCTAACCCAGCAGCCGAAACGTGAGAGATGTGAAGGAGAGCTGTGACAGTCTGCTGCTTAAAGGATTTATAACCTTGGAAGCATTATGGGGCCGTTCTACTCTGCTGTGTGCGGTGGCTATGAGTCGAAATCGATTCAATGGCAGTGGCTTTGGTTTGCTGATAAGTTCAATAAAGGAAAACAAAGGTGGTCCACAACGGAGACTAACAAGAGAGGCCTTTTGAGACTTGGAGGGAGGGGATGCTCAGTGGAAGCTGTTCTAAAAAAGTGACATTTGAATTCAATCCTTGAAGATGAGTAGAGTTTGGTCAAGTGAAGAGTGGGAAAGACAATGTTCCAGGCAAAGGGAACAACGTCTGCAAAGAACCTGGTGCGTTCCAGGACTTAAGGATGGCCAAGTGGGACACTATGCCATTTACACACGAGACTTCCAGTTCTGGTGTTGTGGGTTAATGCACTGGACCGTAAGGTCGGCAGTTCAAATTCACCAGTCACTCCTTGGAACCCCTACACAGGGTCGCTGAGTTGGAATTGATTCGACGGCACTAAACAAATGCTCCTAGAAATGGTCTGGGAATGTTGAACTGTGAAAATGGGGTAACAGTTCCTTATTCCCTGGTCCGGCGTGTGCAAAACAAATGAAATCACATGTTGTGGATGTGTTTCATGTGTGTGAAGACCTATAGGACAGTACGGGGCTACCGCACTGACAAAGTCGGTGACTAACAGTGAAAGGCAGTACTGAGGGAAATCTGGCACCCCGATGACAAGAGAAGGAAATGACTGTTTTCAGTGGCAGGGTGAGGAAATGTTATACCTTGTTGCTGTTGTTAGGTGCCATCGAGTCAGTACCGACTCAAAGCGACCCTGTGTAAAACAGAACGGAACACTGCCCAGTCCTGGGCCAACCTCACAATTGTTGCCATGCTTGAGCCCATTGATGCTGCCTCTGGCCAATACATCTTGTTGGGGGTCTTCCTCTTTTTCTCTGGCCCTCCACCTTAGCAAACATGATCTCCTTCTCCAGCGACTGGTCCCTCCTGACAATATGTCCAAAGTATGAGACGAAGTTTGGCCACCTTGGCCTCCAAGGAGCACTCTGGCTACACTTCTTGGTTCTTTTGGCAGCTCATGGCACTTTCAATATTCTCCTCCAACACCATAACTCAAAAGCATCAATTCTTCCATGGTCTTCCTTATTCACTGTCCAGCTTTCACAAGCATATGTTGTTGTTGTTGTTGTTGTTATGTGCCGTGGAGTTGGAACCGACTCATAGCGACCCTGTACAGGGTTTCCGAGGGTGTAAATCTTTACGGGAGTAGAAAGCCTCATCTTTCTCCCGCGGAGCAGCTGGTAGTTTCGAACTGCTGACCTTGCGGTTTACAGCCCGATTCGTAACCACTACGCTACCAGAGCTCCTGCATATGAGGTTATTGAAAATACCATGGCTTGGGTCAGGCGCACCTCAGTCCTCAAGCTGACATCTTTGCTCTTCAACACTTTAAAAAGGTCTTGTGCAGCAGATTTGCCTATGCAATATGTTCATTGATGTCTTGACTGCTGTTTCCATGCGTGTTGATAGGTGACTCAAGAAGAATGAAGTCCTTGACAACTTCAACCTTTTCTCCATTAATGAGTGTTGTTTATTGGTCCAGTGGTGAGGAGTTTTGTTTTCTTTACATTGAGATGCAATCCATACCAAATGCTGTGGTCTTTTATCTCCATCAGTAAATATTTTAAGTCCTCTTCACTTTCAGCAAGCAAGGTTGTATCATCTGCATATCGCAGGGTGTTAATGAGTCTTTCCCCAATCCTGATGCCACATTTTTCTTCATAGAACCCAGCTTCTCAGATTATTTGCTCAGCATACAGGTTGAATAAGCATGGTGAAAGAATACAACCTTGTTGCGTACCTTTCTTAATTTCAAACTCTTCAGTGTTCCCATGTTCTGTTCGAACAACTGCCTCTTGATCCAGGTACAGATTCCTCATGACCACAATTAAGTGTTTTGGAATACTCATACTTCGCAATGTTGTCCATAGCTTGTCATGATCCACACAATTGGAAGCCTTTGCGTAGTCAATAAAGCATAGGTAAACATCTTTCTGGTATTCTCTGCTTTTAGCCAAGATCCATCAGACATCAGCAATGATATCCCTCATTCCACGGCCTCTTCTAAATCTGGCTTGAACCTCTGGAAGTTCTCTGTCAATGTACACTTGCAGCCATTTCTGTATTACCTTTAGTAAAACTTTACTCTCATGGGATATCAAAGATATTGTCTGATGGTTTCTGCATTCTGTTGGGTCACCATTCTTTGGAATGGGCACAAATATAGATCTCTTTCAATCAGTTGGCCAGATAGTTGTCTTCCAAATTTCTTGGCAGAGATGAGTGCCTCCTGTGCCACCTCACTTTCTTGAAAGATTTCAATTTTTATTCCATCCATTCCCATCAAAGGCTTTGGGTCTCGAGAAATTGCTGTAACGATGATGGTAAATGGAAAGAATGTGTGAAGGAACACCAGGTGACAGAATGGCAGCAACACAGACAAAGCTGGGGAGACACAGGGTGGTGGGGTGGGGATCAAATACAGAGTGGGGAGGGATAGAATGGGGGTAATACCAGAAGGGAGAAACAGAACCAGAGGGTCCGAATTGGAAGTTGTAGGGATGTCTCTGGCT